TAGGTCCATTATTTTAGCAAAACGGCCTGGGGCCATCATAATAGCAATCAAAATGACCTTGGGTCCATATCCCATGTGCCAAAGTTCAAACATATATCAAACATATCTCTTATAACATAAGTTATTTACCAAAAGAGTAAATAAGGTATCGAACCACACATATGAACATAATCCATGAATGAAACATGACATTACGCTACTATTACTCACAATGATGCGGGTGAACGATGGTCCCCTCCTATATGTGCCCTGCACATAGCACACAACTCATAAGTATATCACATTTCCTTAGTTTCTTCTTATTTCTCAATTATCCGATTCATTAAGCTCCATGTAATTAAATGCATTATAGGAACATCAGATGGACATAATAACACATTCAAAGGGTCGAAAAAAGTGAAAGAAAATTACATAATTTTTCAACTTGGGCCGCACGTGCAGAAGTCTGCACTGCATGTACGGGGCAGGTGCACCGCACGTGCAGTTATTGCAGTATAGCTTAATCTTTCTCCCTTGTTTTCCACACGTGCGGCTGTGCCTCCCGCATGTGCGGTCGTATACCCTATTTTGGGCAATTCGAAACTCCATCCAAATCAAACTTTCCAAGGGTATTTCTAAAGGAAAATATGAGCAATACCTTCTCAATATCATATTATGTGAACATAATAAACAAGAATTCATACATAAATAGATCATAATTCACTTTAAGCAATTTATACAATCATATTTCTTTTCATGATTAAACAAAGTAGATACAAACATATGTGCAAAGACTAAAGATTATCTAACACAAGAATCAACCCTCAACTAGATCAAAACAATGGATCTTGATGTCTTCCATGGATATTTACCAATCAAAATGAGTAGCTCAAAAACCCCAACTTAAATAAGTGGAGAACATCATCCTCAAACTTGATACAAAACAATTGGAGTGAGATTTAGGGCATTTGAGTTAGATTACACATACCTTGTTCTCTATTCTTTAAATCTTCTAGCAAGAGCCTTCAATTTCCAAGTCCTAATTGCTCTTTCCTTCCTCTCTTCCTTCTCTTCTTTAAGTCTCCTCCTAGAGATAATTTATATTTTGTTTTTGATGCTAAGTGTTGCCTTGAATCTATTATATCATAGGCTTATATAAGGCTAGCCCAATTAAATCACTTTAATTCATTACGGATCAAATTTTACAAAACTTCTTATTATGACCTAAAAATCATGTTGATCATAAATGTAAAGTCAATTTTGGGTTATCGCGCCTCTAAAGCTTCCAATTTCAAAATTAATCGTCCTAATTTTAACAGATGTTCTCCAATAACCAACAGATAGAATAACATAATTAAATAATTCATATACGTAAGCACAACTCCACATGGAATTTCACATTAAACATGTAATTACACATATAACTAGAGATGTAAAGCATATAAGAGGGTCGAGTTATTACACTCTTCCCCCCCTAAATAAGTTTGGCCCCCCAAACTTGTTTTACCTGAAGTTGAAAATAATTTGAGATACCGTTGTCTCATTTCCCCTTCTCTTTCCCAAGTCGCTTCTTTCCCATAATGTTCTTGCCACTCCACTTTCACTATAGGGATCACTTTACTTCGTTATTGTTTCATCTGTTGATCTAGAATCTGAATTGGTTTCTCCTCATAAATCAAATTATCATTCAAGGTAATTTGTTGATAGTTTATAACATGGGATGGGTCTTGAAGATAACTTCGTAACATTGATACATGAAACATGTTATGCACTTGCTCCATATTAGGCGGAAGAGCAACAGGGCAGGCTACTGGACCTACCCTTTCCAAGATTTGAAACGAACCAACGTATCGGGGTGCTAACTTATCCTTTTTGCCAAATCTTGAGTGTCCCTTTATTGGTGTGACTTTCACAAAAACATGATTACCCACTTTGAATTCTAAATCCCTTCGCCGGTGATCTGCATAACTCTTTTGTCTACTCTGCACGGTTTTTAACCTTTCTTGGATAATTTTAATTTTCTCTGTTGTCAATTGAACAATCTTGGGTCCAAATAACGACTTGTCACCGACTTCAGTCCAGCACACGGGAGAGCGAGATTTCCTTCCATAAAGAGCTTCATAACGTGCCATTTCTATGCTTGAGTGGTAACTGTTGTTGTATGCCAATTCCGCCAACGGTAGATGAGTTTCCCAACTTCCTTTGAAGTTCAAAGCACACATCCGAAGCATGTTTTCCAACGTTTGTATGGTTCTCTCAGATTGTCTATCTGTTTGAGGATGGAAGGTTGTACTGAATTTCAATTCTGTTCCCAAAGCATCCTGCAGAGTTCGCCAAAATCTTGATACAAACTTTGGATCTCTATCGGACACGATTGAAACTGGAACACCATGTAGTCGTACAATTTCATCCACATATATGGTAGCCAGCTTGTCTGTGTTGTATTGAGTCTTTACAGGTAGAAAATGAGCAGACTTAGTTAGTCTATCAACAATAACCCATATGGCATTCATACCCCGAAGTGTTAGCGGTAAACCCACAATAAAATCCATAGTTAAATGTTCCCATTTCCATTCTAGAATTGGGAGGAGTTGAAGCAAACCCACCGATCTTTGGTGCTCTACTTTTACCTGTTGACATTGCAAACATCTTGAGATAAATTCGGCAATTTCCCTCTTCATACCAGGCCACCAAAAATTCTGCTTTAGATCTTGATACATTTTCGTATTACCGAGATGTATCGCAAATTTGGAGTTATGTGCTTCCTCCATAATTCTTCTTTTGATTTCTGGCACATTTGGAACACACCATCTGCCTTGAAATTTCAATACCAAGTTTTTAATCATGAATTCGGACTTTGGCTTTGTTTCCATTTCATCACAAATTTTTCGTAGAAATTCATTTTCTAGTTGTCGTTGCTTGATTTCTTCCATAAATGTCGGTTGAGTTGATATCGCATTTTGGCCATGCAACACAATTCCCACATTCATTCTTTCCAAATCATGTAATAGCTCATTGTGCCTTGTGAGTAAACTCGCTAAATTCCCTGTGCCCTCCGGCTGAGGGCATCTACAATTGTGTTAACTTTACCAGGGTGGTAATGAATTTGTAGGTCATAGTCTTTAATGAGCTCCAACTACCGTCCCTACCTCATATTCAACTCCTTTTGGGTAAAGAAGTACTTGCGGCTCTTGTGATCAGTATAAACTTCACAAGTAGTTCCATACAAATAATGTCGCCATATTTTTAGAGCAAAGACCACTACAACTAGCTCAAGGTCATGCGTGGGATAGTTCTTTTCATGAGGTTTAAGTTGTCGTGAGGCATATGCGATGACCTTTCCATTTTGCATAAGTACACAGCCCAACCCTTTGTAAGAAGCATCACTATAAATTACAAATCCTTCGGTACCAGATGGTAAGGCAAGGACAGGTGCTGTAGTTAACCTTGTCTTTAATTCTTGAAAAGCAGATTCCCGTTGTTCTGACCATTCAAATGACACACCTTTTTGGGTCAACTGGGTGAGTGGCACAACAATTTTCGAAAAGTCCTTAACAAACTTTTGATAGTATCTAGCTAATCCCAAGAAGCTACGCACTTCGGTTACATTAGTAGGAGTTGGCCATTTAACAATGGCTTCAATTTTGTGTGGGTCAACGAAAACACCCTCCTTCGTTATAACATGTCCCAAAAATCCCACTTCGTGTAACCAAAATTCATATTTCTTCAATTTTGCATACAGTTTCTTATCTAGAACAATTTGAAGAATTAACCGTAGGTGGCTCTCATGAGCTTCCGTACTTGTTAAGTAAATGAGGATGTCGTCAATAAATACAACCACAAAGTCATCTAGGTAGGGCTTAAAAACTCGGTTCATTAGATCCATGAAGGTCGCTGGCGCATTAGTAACCCCAAATGGCATAACTAAAAATTCATAATGTCCATAACGGGTCTAGAAGGCAATTTTCTCGATATCCTTAGCTTTAACCTTTAGTTGGTGATATCCAGATCGGAAATCTATTTTAGAGAAGACTTGTGCACCCTATAACTAATCAAACAAGTCATTGATCCTAGGCAAAGAATACTTATTCTTTATGATTACTTTGTTGAGCTCTCTATAATCCACACACAATCGAAGGGTCCCATCTTTATTCTTTACAAAAAGGACTGGTGCACCCTAAGGAGAAGTGCTCGGGTGAATGAATCCTTTGTCGATGAGGTCTTGCAATTGGACCTTCAACTCTTTCATTTCAGCGGGTGACATTCTATAAGGGGTCTTGGAAATGGGCTGAATTCTCGACACTACATCAATTGTAAACTTAATTTCACGATCAATTAACTCTCCTGGTAACTCCTCTGGAAAAACATCCAGAAAATCCCGAACGATTGGAATTGCATCAGTGCCCCCATCCACTGGTTGTTCACCCAAAATATTACATAAATACCCCCGACAACCCTTTTGTAACAACTTATACGCCTTTATTGCAGAAATCAGATAAGGTGGGGAAATTACCCTCTGCCCCTCAAAAATAACCTCCAATTGTCCTGGGGATTGGAAGGTAACTTGTTTCAACATACAATCTATAGTCACGTGGTATTTATTTAACCAATCCATTCCCAAAATTATGTCAAAACAAGCCATGTCAAGAGGTAGCAAGTTGGCATCTACCCAAACATCCCCGATTAGGATTTTACATGCAAAATAAATAGCTGCACATACCATGGACTCCTCTGACGGTGAGGATACACATAAGACATAAGGTAGTGGTTCCACTGGCCTAGTTAAATGACTAGCAAATGCTTTTGATACAAAGGAGTGGGTAAAGCCCGAATCAAATAACACATGTGCGGAATAGACATTAACAGAAAATGTTCCTAATACCACCACCTCGGTATTCTGCACATCCCTCGGGATTAGCGCAAATATCCTTCCCTGTTTAGCGGTATCTTTAGCATTGGCGGGTTTTGTAGCTGCCTTCATAGTTGGGGTAGGAGTTGATTCGGCTGAACTTGTGGTGGTTCTATTTCCATTCTGTCGATCTTTTTTTGGGAATTCTCTGGCCAAATGACCTGTCTTGCCACACTTGAAGCATGCCCCTATTACCCGATAACAAATCCCACGGTCTCTTTCCACAATCTGGACAAATTGGTGCAGAGTCACGGGTAGAGGCGGATGTACTAGAGGTTCCCGAATTCAGTTTCTTACTTGGTGGTGTCACCGAACCCCTTGAGGCTTGGGTATTCTGTCTTTTCCCTTTCCATTCTGAGACCTGGCTTTGAGTGGCGATATTACCTTCAGTGATTACTGCCCTTTCCAGCACATCAACATGCGTAGGTAATTTCAGCACATTGATCCGATCGAGAATAGCAGTCCGTAATCCACCTTCAAACTTTCTTACCTTCTTATAGTCTGTATCAACCATATGTGGTGCGAAGCGGGCCAATTCAGCAAATTGCGCCTCATACTCTGCAATAGTCTTGTTCTCTTGTCTCAAGGTCTCAAACTGGATCACTTTCTTATCTCGCATACAGTGGGAAAATACTTTTCATAAAATAGCTCCAAAAATCTAGCCCATGTTAACCCCTGATGTACAGTTCTTGTGATCATCCACCACTTCCGTGCTTTATCTTCAAGAGTGAAGGTAGCCAAATGCACTTTTTAGGCTTTAGTACAAGGAAAAACCTAAAATAACTTTTCTATACCCAACACCCATGCTTCTGCTTTCATTGGTTCAATTCCCCCTTTGAACGAGGGCAGCTTCATCTTCTTAAATTCCTTCGTGAGTGTAATTGTTCGATCTTCAGGTTGGTGATCTTGTACCTCTGGTGGTGGTACAGGTACTAGTGGTGGTGGTTGTTGCTATTGTTGTTGTTGCCTCAAGGTTTCTACTTTCTCCATAATCATTATTTCCATTCTATCCAACCGTATGAAGGTAGAGTCCTCCGGATCATCCGTCCTTGTCCTCACCATGATCTACATAACAGTTGGTTATAATATACAAAAAAATGCACAAGTAGGCATGGATCATGATCATTACCAAAATATACATATATATCCGTGATTATTGCATATACAATCTAGCTGCTACATATCATTTTGTATGCACAAAAGTCACATGCATGTAACTTAAGTCTTTTCTAGATGCTCTAAAGCTTAATGAACTCGTGTGTGAGGTAACAACTCGTGCTCTGATACCAATTGTCACAACCCAAACATGCCCTTAAAAGTTTGGACATGACCGGCCTAACCTAAGGCCTCAGTGAGAAAACCCACATTTAATTATTCTTTAAATAAAATTAATTAATTTTATCCTGAGTCTATCTGAAATATATATTAGTGTAAAAGTTAGTCTTAAATTAATCCAATTTAGTCACTAACAAAGACATTATTAAGAATAATAATTTTATGGGTGTTTATATATATGCATGCTCCTCTTTGATTAAAGCATGCAAAGAAAACCTGAGAAAAAAAAAATCTGCGAAGTGGAGTGAGTTAATAAGAGGAGGAGGTTAAGGAGGTTGCATATTTTTCTACCATTTCACTATTTCATTTCAATCCTACAACTAAGTAAGAAAACCTTCTCAACCCTCTCATTTTTTTTAAGTGTTAGAATTTTCAGATTATATTCATATGATAAAATGGCTAATTTATAGATAATTTTTTTTATATGTATATAAATTTTGTGATGTGTATATCAAGTATTTGAAGATATTGATAGTCTTAAAGTCATGGTATTATTGTGAAAATAGACTTGCACGTGTAGTTTATACCACTAAAAAGAGGATTGAAGGTTTTATTTGGCCCTTGAATCTGTCAGGAAATTTGTATGACTTTTCAGACAATTTTATACTCAAAATTTGAAGATGATTTCATCTACCAAGTTGTTTAGAATAATGTCTATTTCATCCATGCATTTTTTCAACAATTATAGAGTTTTGTAAGAATTTATACAGATTTTTAACCAAATCTGGAGCTATAGGCAGATTTTACTATGTGTTTGAAAAATCATTAAAATTTTTATATGAAACAAAATATGGTAATTTCTAAACAAAAAATGAAATTTGAGAAGTTTAGTTTCATAATGAATTTTTAGATTATGAAATTGATTTATAAATTTAAGTATGAAATTAATTTAAGAAAATGTGATAAATCTGTGTCATAAACTTTCTTGGAATTTTTAAGAATTGTTTATAATTTATTTTTGGAAAATGATTTCTGAAAAATGACCATAAAATGTTTATTGAGTATTCTGTACATTTGTATGAATTTTAGAGTTGTATAAGTAATTTATTTATAATTTTATTTACGAGATATACATTCTGAAAATTTTGACAGATTTGTGAGGAATCAAAAATTTTCTCTTCAATTGTTTATTTGGACTAAAATTTAATATTGTACTAGTCTAATCTTGTAGATTAAAAATCCATGCATGTGTGTGATTATGATTTATTTCTTTTTGGTATCTGCATTATTATTTCATACCATGGTTTAAATTAATTGTTTATTTAGATTTTGTACATTGATTTATTTTTGTGTGACATGTGTAATATTTTATGTTGGGAATTTTAATGAGTTGGTACAATATTATTGGTGAATAAAAATTTGAATTATTTGTGATTAATATTAAAACTAATTGAAACGATTAACGGCATATACAAAGTTAACAATTGACGATGAATACCAGTTGTTCAAGGTGAGTAGTTGTTTTAAAGAGTGTACAAAATTAAGGGTTGACGGTTAATACCGGTTGTTCAGGGTGAGCCCTACTTTTGAAAATTCTCACGTAAATTGTGTCGCGAAACCCTAAGATGACACGAGACTTATTTGAACCCTTTTCAGTATTCGGTTTTGGAGTAAGGGTGGATGTGCAAGTGACACACAGGGAGGTTACGTATCCCTAGCAGACCATTTCCTTGAGGCAGACCACGAATGCCACTACTTAGGTATATAACTTCGGACGTGGGCATCCCTGGTAGTTATGATTGGTAACACTTGAATATTTGACCAAGGGGAGTTTCAAATTAACCATTGCCATGCTTAGTGGTTGGTAAGTTAAATCTCTTTGGTGAGATTTCGAGTGTCACTTAATTTATTAGAATTATTGAAATTATTTTAATGGTTGTAATTTATGTTTACAATTATATTGTTATCTCATGTTTATAACGTTATTGTTTTTCTCTTAAAAAGAATAGTAGGTTGGTTATGTTTTTTTTACTGTGATGCAAAACTTATGGCATATATTTTTGTTGCCCTGGCGTTTTATGCCAGGTTTTGGCGAGCAAATAATTGAAACTGAAATGGAGTTAACGCTAACGTAGAGCCTTGGCTAACTTGAAACCCTGATTAGAGTCGAATAAATTTTATTATTTTATATAATAGCTATTAAGGACTTTATAATTTCATTTGATGTTGTATTTGGATAATTTTCAGTTTATATTTATTGTTGTTTGAATCTTTGATTATGTACGAGAGTTGGAATGTCCAATTAAGATGCCAACTTTTTGATTTATTAAGTCAGTTTGTTTATTTAATTTCCCTTGATGTTTCAAAAAAATTTAAGGCGTCACACTCAGCTTTGCTGTAATAAATTTTACTCAATATTAGGGCCAGAACAGAAGCAAAATAATAGAATATAACATTCATTAAGCTGTGACTACATGCCAGGATCTTAATGCATTACCATACATAAGTACATAACATTCCATACCCCATTTACATTACTGTTTATGTGGAAAAGGTAACAACCCAAAAGTCAGGTAATGCCAAAGCATATATACATATGTCTATTCCTCTTAATTCCAACAAAACATGCCAACATACAGATTTCCCAAAATTAAACAAAAGAGTCACTTCGGGTGACTCAGCAAAACGGTTCAATAAAAGACTCCTGGGCTGACCTACAGTTGCCCCGCGAGCTGGTTACCTACAAAACATCCATAAAAAAAATGGAGTGAGCAAGGCTTAGTGAATGATAGTAATACAAACAGATTACGGGTACGAGCATAATTTAACAGTGCATATTCATAAATCACAGGTTGGTCTTATTCATATTTCTTTTTCTGAATGGCCTTGGGCCCACATAAGATAGAATGACCTTAGGTCCAACATAATATAGAACGGCTTTAGGCCCATTATAATAGCAAAACAACCTCAGGTCCAACGAAATACAAAACGACCTTAGGTTCATTATTTTAGCAAAACGGCCTGGGGCCCATCATAATAGTAATCAAAACAACCTCGCGTCCATATCTCATGTGCCAAAGTTCAAACATATATCAAACATATCTCTTATAATATAAGTTATTTACCAAAAGAGTGAATAAGGTATCGAACCTCACATATGAACATAATCCATGAATGAAACATGACATTACGCTGCTATCACTCACAGTGAGCGGGTGGACGATGGTCCCCTCCTGTATGTGCCCTATATATAGCACACAACTCGTAAGTATATCACCTTTCCTTAGTTTCTTCTTATTTCTCAATTATCTGATTCGTTAAGCTCCATGTAATTAAATGCATTATAGGAACATCGAATGGACATAATAACAAATTCAGAGGATCGAAAAGAGCGAAAGAAAATAACAGAATTTTTTAGCTTAGGCCGCACGTGCGGAAGTCCCCACTGCACGTGCAGGCAAGTGCACCGCACGTGTTTTTATTGCAGTGTAGCTCAATCTTTCTCCCATGTTTTCCGCACGTGCGGTTGTGCCTCCTGCACGTATGGCCATGAGCTCCTCGCATGCAGTCGTATACCCTATTTTGGGAAGTTCGAAACTTCATCCAAATCAAACTTTCCAAGGGCATTTCTAAGGGCAAATATGAGCAACACCTTCTCAATATCATATTATGTGAACATAATAAACAAGAATTCATACATAAATAGATCATAATTCACTTTAAGCAATTTATACAATTTTACAATCATATTTCTTTTTCATCTTTTCATGATTAAACAAAGTAGATACAAACATATGTGCAAAGACTAAAGATTATTTATCACAAGAATCAACCCTCAACTAGATCAAAACAATGGATTTTGATGTCTTCCATGGATATTTACCAATCAAAGTGAGTAGCTCAAAACCCCAACTTAAATAAGTGGAGAACATCATCCTCAAGCTTGATACAAAACAATTGGAGTGAGATTTAGGGTATTTGAGTTAGATTACACGTACCTTGTTCTCTATTCTTTAAATCTTCTAGCAAACCTTCAATTTTCAAGCCCTAATTGCTCTTTCCTTCCTCTCTTTTTTCTCTTCTTTAAGTCTCCTCCAGGAGATAATTTATATTTGTTTTTGATGCTAAGTGTTGCCTTGAATCTCTTATATCATAGGCTTATATAAGGCTAGCCCAATTAAATCACTTTAATTCATTACAGATCAAATTTTTACAAAACTTCTTATTATGACCTAAAAATCATGTTGATCATAAATGTAAAGTTAATTTTGGGTTATCGCGCCTCTAAGGCTTCCAATTTCAAGATTAATCATCCTAATTTTAACAGATGTTCTCCAATAACCAACAGATAGAATAACATAATTAAATAATTCATATATGTAAGCACAACTCCACATGGAATTTCACATTAAACATGTAATTACTCATATAACTACAGATGTAAAGCATATAAGAGGGTCAGGTTATTACACTTCTTCCTCTACTGGATCTTCGAAGCGGTTGTCGAATCACCAGGACATCAAATGGCTTTGAAATCCACTACAGCCTGCAATCTTGGAATCCACCACAAAGGTTTGTCGAATCACACGACGCCAATGACTCTAGAATCCACCGAAACTTAAAATATATGAATCCACCGAGAAGGTTCATAGTTGAAAGGTGTGAAGGACTTATAGAAAAACTTGATGATTAGCTTTGAGCTTCTAAGGCTAATGTATTATCAAGTAGATGAGAGTTACAAGGATTCCTCACTACAAGTGCACTCTCAAAAACAAATTTCTCTACAAAAAATGTATCTCTCTTTAAAAATAATTCTCACTCACAAAAACAAACTCTCTCAAGGTTGAAGGTATTCAAGAGAGAATGAGAGAACACTTAGAAACTATAAGTCTAGGAGATACTCAAGAAAACAACCAGGGGCCTTTAAATAGACTTGGGCAGGACAAGTTCGCGGGCTGATCGCGAGTGCGGTCCTATGGTTGCGTGCACAAGTTGCCTTTGCGGGTTGTAGAGAAAAGTATTGGGAACTGGATGTTCGGACTACCATGGTCGCAGGTGCGGTTAAAATGGTGCGGCCACGAGTGCCTAGGTTGCAGGCGAGACCGTGCCATGTAGCCATTGCGGGCACGATAGTAAGATTCGCAGGCGCCACCGTGCATGCTGGCTCAGCTGCTTTTGCAAACTTTTGTTGCTGTTTTCTTCACATTTTACTCCATGCTTTGCCACCTTATCTCATAGATAAACAGCCACCCTTTTTGACTAGATAGATTCACCAATCTTCATACATGCTTGACCACAAAAGTTCTCAACAAAATCACCCATAAAGATTATAATGTTGACAAATAAGATCAAAGAAAACTTTAGTCCATGCTTGCACCTGTTAGGTTCTATCTTCAGCCCATGTTTTTCCACCGAAAGATTAAGACAAACAACCTCATTTAACATCCCAAAGTTGGCATGTTCAAATTTGAATCCTCATTGCATGCTTTCCAAATCTTTGACATTTGAGAGGCACAATAATCAAGATGAGAAAATCAAATGAAGAAAATCAAATGAACTTGAATCAATGATATTAAGTTTTGTCAAGAAATGTATTGCCAAAACTTTAAATTCTTTTAGATAAAAATCCAATGTCGGGAAAAAACTTCACAAATCACTTTTGCACAAGATTTCTTGATTCAACCAACAAGTGGACAAAGACAAAGAAAGACAAAGACAGAGAAATAATTAAACTGAAAAACATGAAACATGATTTGTCTTTGGTACGAGATTACCAACACATATTTAAATGCACAACAGTAGGATTAAAAATCGTAACACCATCAGTTAAACTCAAGAAATAAATTAGTGAATTAGAAATTTACTGAATAAATAGAGAAATGTTGAAATGTTTAGGCCTTCCTAAGTTGATTTGGGTAACAAAAAAATTTAACAAGACAAATTGAGAATGAAAGACGAAAATACATTACCAACAAGTGATCGAATTCACAAAAAATTTACAAATACATTAGCATCTCAAAACCCATAATTCATACACATTGACAAAAATATATGGGGGGGGAAAATTGTAATTCATATCTTTGTAAAACCCCAAAAAACTAAAGCATTAAGCAATGCCAAAATTATTCATAAACCCGAAAGAGCAAAAACATAAAATCAAATAAAAAAATCAACAACAAACAAACAAAGAGTTGCAAAATCTATAGAGATCTAAGTCACATCATAATCACCACCATTTCTAATTAAAAACAAATAAGGTTAAATAATTAGAAATATATAATGAGTAAATAATTAGGTTAAATAAATTGAATATTAGAATTCAAAGATGGTTTTATTAATTAAAATTATGTTTTTAATAAAATAAAGAGAGGGTTAGGGTTAGGATTTGAGTTTCATATTGGTTGGGAAAGAAGATGAAATGAAGGGCATGCTTGTCTTTTAATATTGAATCTTAACTTTGACTTCTATTTTTTTTCATTGACAACTCTTACTTTTGACAAGTGTGGAATACTCTCCGTCATTCTAGACGAGATTAATAACGGTAAGGAGGCAAAGTGCAAAATGGTGAAAACTATGTGGGGGCTCTTTGCCTATTATTGAACCCTAGGAGGGTAAAGTGCTCTAACTCTTAACCACAAAGGAGTAAAATGAAATTCTCCTTTTTCTTTTTGTGTTTTTGTTCTTCCTCTTTTGATTTTTCCTTTTTAATTGCTTTGATTCTCCTTTCAAGTAAATGTGGCAGCTGTGCGGATGGCACAATAGTCACTATTGTGCAGTTAATGAAGCCCATTTCGAAGGTCATTTCAATGATTCGAACCATTTGCTTTTTAGGGTATATTAAGTAAAACATACCTATAAGAAATCAAATTGATTGAATATCAGTAACCCTTTCATAATTGTGTTTGTATTTAGTTTTATATTTCAAATTATATCGATCATTTATTTTTTTAGATACAAATGCAATCCGATGAAAGGGTTACCAATGTCTAATTAACTTAATTTTTTTTTACAAGTATGCTCTACTTGATGTACTCTAAAAAAAAGTGAATTATTTGGCTCATCGAAATAGACCCCGAACTAGGCCACATTGGCCACACAACAGTGACTGCTATGCTCGTCACACGGCATCCACCACATTTCCGTGACATTGGTAGTTTTTATTGTAATTTATTATTGTGTTAGTTATGACTCATTGTAATGTTAGTCATTATTTACTATAATCCTTATTTTAGTTATGACTCAAAATATATTTGGTTATACCTTATACGGCATTTGGTTGACTCATTATTATTATTATTATTATTATTATTTTGCCATGATTAAAAATGATTTAGTTATAAAATTTGTAGTAATTAACACTACAAATGTTGTAATTTGTATATAATACACTCATTTTTGAGAGTATGTATTCTAAATTGATCAGTTTCTTCAACTTCAAAACTATTTATTTTGTTTTAGATGTTCATCCCCGTTTTTTTCTTCCCTCTATTTTTGATCTCTCTCTCCATCCTTCCCCCTCCTATTTTTAATCCTTTAAAAATTGAAAATATTTGCAAAAATTCAACAATCAATTTTATAGGTTTTATAAAATTGAATATATTTGTAAACTTAAAAATAAATTCTATCCAAAAAACTTCACTGAGTAAGAAAATGCATTTAAAATTGTTGGAATTTCAAATCAGTGTAGAAGTTAAAAAAATAATTACAAATTTATAATAAAATTTATCAATATCAATACTTAAAATTATAAACTTTTTCATGCATATGTAATAATCATAATTATCACTGACTGGTAATTTTTCTTTTAAAATTCCAATTATAAAATTACGATCTAATATCTTTAAACATTATGAGTTTTAAAAAGGAGGAGGATTCCCTCCAGGCCATGGACTAGAAAGTACAGTTGGACTGTAGGGCCCAGTATTAGTTCTGTTCCGATGATCTAATTTGAATTGTTTATTTTATCGGTCATTTTATATATTTATTATACACAAAAATTAGGCACTTCATATGTTTCATCGACATAAAAAAAAAATTAAGTTTATCTGATAATTATAACATATTTAATTTATTGTCTTTTTCACCAAAACAATGGACGATAGTTGTGTTTTTAAAAATAAATCATGCATTTTTTTTAATGACAAACTCGATAAATTGAATAGGTTATGGATCAACCTAATTTTTTATATAAATCAAAAATATAAAGTGTCTAACAAAATAAATAATTTGAATTATTGAAACAGAATCGATGGTAAATCTCATGTTACTGGAGAGAAGCTGCCTCCTTTAAAAAATTATTAACAATTTTCGAGCTATGGCAAGTGGTGATAAAAACAGTATGTAAAAGATGATTTTTCAGCAAATTATCTCCTCACATATCCTATTATATCCATATTCTTTACATGGAGGCAGATGTCCTTAAGTCTAAAATCTGAATTGGAATGTGCGCTATGTAGACTCGTGGAGCCTTATCCCTATTTCGATAATGTAAATTGTTCATTTCGGATTAATAAATATCAATACAACATTTCATTTCACACATTCATTACAAAATTTTTAGTTACATATACAAGCTCGCCCTCCCAAGAACAAATTTACACAGCATTGATTTACAAGTTGAAACAATGAAGATTACAAACTCAAAAGAAGTCTGAGTAGAGGACAAGATGTTTATCACATAAACTACATAAAAACTTCCTCTTGATGAAGAAGCAAATGGGTAGAAAGCAAAATCTCCAATGGCTCTCCAGATCAATGGCTTGCACTTTCCCTCCACAGTATGGACACAACCCAGGTGCTTGCTTTCTTCCCAACTCTCTCTCTTCTCCACACACAAACACCTTACACTGTTTCATTTTCTCTCTCTCTCTCTCTCTAGGTCTGGGCAATTTCTTGGAATGTTTCCCTGTTCAGAGAAAATATTTATATGAAAACTATGTAGGACGGCCGGATATCGAATTATAAAAAAATAATAAAATAAAAAATAGAATGGTCAAATAAGTACAGAGCTTGTAAGTTTAACTTTTTTTTTTTTTTTTTTATCTCATAAAATAATTTTTTAAAAAAACAACTAACTAAAGAGTAACCAAGTTGCAAACGGGGTCCAATATTTGGTTAATATGAGATAAGGTTCGTACACTTCCATTTGTTCTCCTTTATTATTAGAATGTGACATCCCTTTCACTTAACATATCTGGTCGTGGATCCTTCTATTTGAATCCGTAGGACCCACTATGATTTCAATTCAGTGAATAGTTTTAGTTTATTTTAGAATTTTGTAGATAAATCAGCTACGAAAAAAATTAAATTAATCAAAATAATTAATCGTGGACTCATATGTATCCTCCGCCAATTTTGTTCTTTTTTTCTAATAAAATTATATTATTATAATTATTGTTGTCATAATGTCTTGTTGTAATAAATTAGATAGTTAGTTTGTTTAGTATTCATTCGGTGTTGTAATAGCTAGTTTTAATTCAGACCCTCTTGCGTGAGGGAAAATATGTAATAGCTGTATTTATCTTCCAACCCTCATTTCTTTCTCCCTTTTATTTACCTGCTTCTAATGGTAGCATCATATTTACTTAGCATTTTCCATGACTTGCATAGATTCGTTTTACACGCATAAAGGTTCGGCTCATCATTCTAACCAAAGTCAATTTCAAATTCTTTATTTGAATACGTGATTTATCCCTGTTTTGAATTGAATCAAATGCCATGCTAGTAGCTGAACTTGTTATTTACATAATGCATGCATTGCATTTGTCATATTACATTTCTTAAGAGCATGCATTTCTTCTAATTATTTTACTTTAATGTAGCTTGCCTTAGAGTACTAGGTGAGCATTTCTTGCTTTAGCATATTTCATTGTATATTTGTGTTTCCGTATTAAGCATGCTTTCCATAAGGCTAAATGCTTAAATGATATTCATGTTTGAATGCCTCGGATGAAGGCATTTTTACTTAAGTTGGAATAAATTGATTAAATGTAAATACGAGCTCGCTTTTTCAAATGACATGTATTCAAAACACTTTTCCAAAACAAACATAAAATCAATGCATTCCAAATTTTGTGACTTGGTCTATACTTGTGTGCATCACTTAGTAAAATTAGCCTAATAACCGGAACAAGAGCATATAATGTGAATACAAATCACATCATGATTAGTAAATGCCGATCTTTGATTGGGTGAGTGAAGTGCTCAATTAATGACCTTCCCCTCTCATACCTAAGTTCTCGAGCCGAGACACTTTGGTGATAAC